CTGAATCTCTGTAGTCTTCGATGCCGGATAGTACCGGTGCACGAACTTGTCAACCAGATCGTCCCAAGAGGTGATGGACAATGGGGGCTGGGTCTCCAACCACCTCTTAGCATTCCCCGCCAGAGAATGGGGGAAGAGGTGAAGGCGGATTGCGTCATCCGGGACACCGTTCAGCTTGAACCCGTTCGTCAGCTGCAGAAAACGGGAAAGATGTACCCGGGCTTCCTCATCCTTCAAGCCATGGAACTGGATAGAGGAGGTGATGATTTGAATCCAGCATGGCTTGATCTCGAAGTTGTTTGCAGGAATGGGCGGATAGAGGATGACCGGGCGGATGTCAGCAATCCGTGGAGTATAGTAGTACTCCAAGGTGGGACCCGGTGGTGGTGGATGATGATGGGCCCCAGCTCCCTGGGGATTTGGGTCGTTCCCCAGGATCTGGTTCTGAGGAGGTGGGTTCTGATCGCCTTCCATCTCGTACTCGTCCTCGGATTCGCTGCTCAATTGGCCGTCTCTGCGCTCCACCGTAGCCAGTCTAGCTCGCTGTTGTCTCCGAAGTTGTTTGCAGGTGCGCTCAATCTCAGGATTCAACGGCAGTAAACCTCCCGACTGGCTACGGGTCATGCACTATCTGCACACAATCAAGCAATGCAAACCCGTGAAGGCACAAGTGGGAAAGAAGAAACTCTCAATGCGAAAATAAAAATGCTAAAGTAACAGAAATCACTTTTCTTCAACAACCTAGCCGTCCCCGGCAACGGCGCCAAAAACTTGACTCACTCCTACTGTCACTCTAGAAAATGGCCAAGTGTAACCACTTCCTAAAGCGTAGTATAGCGGGTTTGGGTTTTATTGTCAACCCGGGTCCTAGATGTGATGACTACTCGGTGAATTCTCGTTATCTAGCAGTGAACTTTTAGTGCAAACTCAAGCAAACAAAAACACAAGGCAAGTAAACGGTTGTTGTCAAGTCAAGAGAGGTCACCCGGATATGGTTCCCCCTAGACTGCAGTTAAGTCGGATTGCAATTTACCAAGTTCAGTTTTCATGAAAGTTATACTGCGGAAGGTTCTTGATTAGCCTGAAGTCTCGACTAACGGTCTCCAGACCCTCTCAATCTGAGTCTCTAGCGGGCGACTAACCTCCACCGGAGTAAACAGATTGAGGCCCTAACGAACCAAACCTCCACTACCGAATTGAATTCAGTACAGAATAGCGAATTGGCTCCTCGACTAAAGTCACCTATTCGCCACCTTCGATTAAGGATACTCTATCAACCTAGGCAGATACTCTCATTCTAGGTCAAAGCAGAAACAACAGGAATTTGATCAGGATTCAAGTCATTCAATCATTCAAACCTCAATCGAATATAATCAATTCACAAACTCTGTACTTGGGTTCATACAATCAGACCTAGCATACAATTCTAGGGTTCCCCATACCCAGATGAATGGGGGAACTACTCCATAGAGAAAGAAGCAAAAGCAGATTCAGACGCGGAAATCATACTGTGAAGATGGATTTCTGCTCCTGGACGGTTAATCGGCACTTCTCCAAGCTCAAGCCGGGCTCCAATGGTGATGAAGATCAAGCTATGGCACTTGGGAACTCTGGTTCGTCGCTTTCTCTCTCTAGGAATCGATTTCTCTCTCAAAAACTCGGAACCCTTCAATGTTGGCCTTCTTCTTCCTTTTATCAGCTGCCTGGTCGCGATACCCGGTCGAAATACCCGGTCGGGTATTTTGGGTTTCGACCGGGTATTTACAAAACTCGCCGTTTCACTTAAGGGAAAATCCCCGGTCACTCTCCATAATCCCCGACCGGGGATTTTAGCCATTTTGCCCGGGCCCCCTCTGTTTCTCACGGGGCCGAAAATGATAAATACCCGGTCGGGTATTTTACCACCTGACCGGGTATTTTCCTCCTGCAGCCCCCTTAGTCCCAACTCGGCTCCTTTCGACCCAGAACTCGTTTCTCCGCCTCGATTCCAACGCCGGGTCCTGAAATATGACATAAACACACAACCTAGCGTGAAATCGGCTTAAAACACGAGATTCCTCATCACAAACAGCTTCAGAAAAGGGGTGAAAACATGTATAATTATCGGTCTATCAGCCTACCCGTGAATGGGATTCGAAATAGGAACGATGCATCGTTTGGGTGAAGTTCGCAGCTGTTCATGGGTAGTGTCACGACCGTGTGGCTGCCCGTGAATAGCTCGACAATGAATTCTCTCGGGGAATTGAACGGTAAATTTTATGGTCTGGCTCACGGGCGTGATTCTACCCGTGAGTGCTTAGACAACTAATTCCTTCATTTTGTTCTTGCCTTTTCTCCTTCGTTCGAACTCTGAATCAGTCCAAGTTTGATCTCAGACGCTCGTATTCTTGTCCTCATTCATCCTTTACTGTTTTTCTTGTCCAAATGTCATCAAATTAACTCGTTGTGGCCTGAAACACACCAAAATCACAAACTCTCTCGTTCGAACTCTGAATCAGTTCAAGTTTGATCTCAGACGCTCGTATTCTTGTCCTCTTTCATCCTTTACTATTTTTCTTGTCCAAATGTCATCAAATTAACTCGTCATGGTCTGAAACACACCAAAATCACAAACCAAACATAAAACTGGCCAAAACATATAAATATTGTTGGAATGACCGAGCAAAGGGGCTTACAAGGGATCTAAGAACATGTATAATTCACGTGTTATCAATATCTATTTAAGTGATTAAGAAATGACTTATTTTGTTGTTTCCTACTGATATCATAGGTTTTGATTTCAATCTGATTCTTTGAAAGATGCATCTATTTCTCTAGGTAATGCTTGAGGTATTGAAAGAAAGAAGTACTAGAAGTGAGAACTGTTGCTTGATTGAGATCCATATCATATTTCTTATGTTTTATTTTCATTATTAGGGTTTTTTAATCTTAACATTAACAGGGTTTACATTTCTGATCAATTTGGTATTCGATAAACTTCATATTCCACCCTTCAACTTTCAACCCACAACTCAAGGAAGAGGGGAAAAGCAGGGGATCAAGAGTAAATATGAAAAGGGGAATATAAATAACAATATACATTTTTACCAAAACACATAGGCAGGAAGGTGGTACTTGTTTGCCACAGAAAGGATGGAAATGTTGCAGTACTCCTGTCCTGTGTACCCATAAAGGTAACTCTTGCTTGTGGAGTAATGACTCCAACTAACTTGACATTGCATGTTCGTTCATTCATTCGAGTGTACCAAAATTTCCAAACCCCTCCTATACGATCGTGATACGTTGGGAAAGTTGACATGTTAAACAAATCAACGTGGCTAGTGGAAAGCCAAATCTCACTAGTAGATTAGAGTTCATATACATATAATAAATTCTCATGAGAGAGCCACATGCAAAGCCGGTTTCTCAAGTTCTTCACCGCAAGCAAAATGTGGTTCATTGAACTTTCTTACTTGCACTACCGGTGATATCAATTTAGGAATGAAGTGTGAGAAAAAGAGCTATTTGAAGTTACTTGGTCATGTAGCACTAAGAGGAATCAATCGAGAAAGACACAAGATATAACGCGATTTACCTAGTTTTCTTAACGACTATCATTGAGACTAGTATATGATACATTGATGGAGTTTGATGTTGTTTTTCGTAATTGTACGGTTCAGCCACACACACACACACATATATATATATATATATATTAGCCAAACTCCCAACAATAACTTAAATAATTACCATATAATTAATTGACTAATTACAATATAGTACATAAACTTTTAACACACTTTCTCGAATTAACTGTGTTGTTGCTACATTAATTTGTGAGCAAGAAACCAACGACATGTCGAATAAACAGCCTTGGTCGGTACATCAAATGTCTGATGCTCTATGGTAATGTGAGAAGATTCCACCGAATCCTCAGCCACAAGTTGACGAATATATTGTAGATGCACCACGATATGCCTTGTCCGATCATGCAGTACTGAGTTTCCTTGATATTTGTATTGCACTAGTATGGTCAGTAATCGAATGAGAACTTGACACATTACCCCCACTCAATCAACAACCGCTAGAGCCAAACTATCTATAACGTGGCTTCACTCATCGAGCGATATTCAGCCATCATCAATGACTTGGCTACGTGATCCTGCTTCTTACCCCACCATGAGATGAAAGAACTTCCCATGTAAATGCATCATCCTTATGTCGACCCCTATGTGTCTAAAGCATTCAACATAATTTGTATTAGTATATGCCTCAATTTTAAGTTAAAACCGGTGTCAGCTAAAGTATTTCTCCTGTCACTAAATTTTCTGCAATCTTTTTATCTACTGGTTAGCCACCAAGTCCAAGTGCTCCCTCAAGAAAACTTATCAAATCTCGTTACTATACGAGGGTTGTTGTCAATTGAGTGACGATTTCAACCTAGACCAGTTCGGTTTGGGTCTTCCTTGGTCTGACCTCCTGCTAGCCGTTTGTAGTTTACCACGACACTTCATTTGCTCACGATCTTATATTCAATTGCGTTAAATTGCTAGACGTTTTGGCAATGCCACTAGGGACATTCCATGGTCAGTATGAACTAATTTAACGCAATTTACATAAAGATTAAACATTTTATGCACAAAACACATGTATGTTCATGAAGCTTATTATTAGTTTCCTTCCAAGAATAGTAAGTGCAGGTAATAAATGGTTTATACATAGGTAAATTATTGAGATAATCCGCTCCTTTCATGTAAAATTGCACAGTGGGTAAAACAACCGTCGAATTCTTAGGATAATCAAACCGTGCCAACCGCCAACAAGGTCAAGAAGATTTACAATTGTAGTAGAACATCCATCGGGATTTTCCAAAACTAAGACTACCTATGACTTTTGCAACATTAGCACGATATGAGCTGGCTTTTAGCATGGCTTCGCACTTGGCAGAGAATAGCATAAGCGATTACCCGCATTCAATACAGCCACAATCGTACGATGATTTTATTGAGTACCTACCACCAGCATGTTACAATCAATCTACAGAAATGATCATACTCGCCCCAAATTCCAGCCTTAAATTCTTCAAGAAAGAAACGAAAGCCAAATTGGACAATCGACGAAACAGGGGAACTTGCCTTAAGTCAATGGATACAGATACGCTTCCTTAAGGAAAAATCAAAACCCACAAAGGAAAAATCAAAACCCACTACAGTTTCCTTTTGCCGCCCCTCCATTAATGAAGCGCCAGTACGATTACTCCATGGTCCCTCCAATTTATAGAGAAAGTTCTCAGCTTTCGTTTTGCCAGAGTAAACCCCAAAAAACAGAGTGTAATGAGAGTGAAAGCCTTACTCTGTTTTTTTACATTTTTTTGTTTACAAACAGAGCAATGTCGAGCTCATCAATTCCCTTCTCCTCATTTGCAATTGTGGGTTTGATCCTCCTCTTCGCCGCCGGACCCACTTCCGCCCGGATTCAAATCCCGGCGAACGAATCCGTGCCGGCGGCTTTAGTGTTCGGCGATTCAATCGTCGATACGGGGAACAACAACAAGATCCTTACTTCCCCTGCTAGATGCAACTTCCCGCCCTACGGCAGGGATTTCTACGGCGGAGTTCCCACCGGACGATTCTCCAACGGGAAAGTCCCGTCCGATTTCCTAGGTTCGTCTAATCGTTTCAATTCATCAAATTCAGAATTCCTTTTTGGTTCGCTAAAAATTGGGTTTCCTCTGTTTTCCTTTTTGGGCAGTGGAAGAGCTTGGGATTAAGGACACCCTGCCGGCGTACAAGGACCCGAACTTGACGCCGGAGGATCTACTCACCGGCGTTTGCTTCGCTGCCGGCGGTGTCGGGTACGATGACTTATCGTCAAAAACCGCGGTATAAATGCAGAATTAAAGTCTTTACTTCTGTTGAAAATTGCATATCATAAATTCTTCATAAGACCTCCAGTGGAACTGTGGAAGTTAGTTCGTAAAAATAAGTGTTGGTTTGTTTCTCAGTCGGTGCCGCCATTGAGCGAACAGCTGAGAGAGTTCAAAGAGTACGCAAACAGGGTGAAAGCTATGCTTGGAGAAGAAGCCACAGCCAAGTTCTTGGCCAATAGCGTAGTTCTAATTGTTCTGAGTAGCAACGACATAGCCAACACTTACTTCAACTCTCGCCTGCGGGAGCTCCAGTACGACTTCCCTACTTACGCCGACATTTTGGTCAAAACCGCAACGAAATTCGTTATGGTAACCATATGACATCTCGAAAACATTCATTGTTGTCGTTTATGAATTTTTCAATTTGCTTTAATTTGGCTCGATAATTTTGCGTTTCATTGGGATGGAAGGATTTGTATACGGTCGGGTCCAGAAGAATCGGAGTGTTTGGAGCGCCGCCGCTCGGGTGTATTCCATCTAGCAGGACGGTGGCAGGCGGGTTAGAGAGAAAGTGTAGTGACAAATATAATCAGGCGTCGCAGTTTTTCAACTCAAAATTATCTGCGGGATTGAATTCTTTGAAGGGAAACTTGGACGCTTCTGCTAGAGTCGTCTACATCGATGTCTACAATCCTCTCCTTGACGTCATCAACAATTATCAATCTTATGGTGAGATATTCGCATTCAATTGAATGTTAAACTAAAAAAGTTTGTCGTCCAATTTTAATATAGACACTTTAAGAATTCATTAACAAATTAGTTAGTTTTTCGCTTAAAGTTTTAAAATATTGTGATTATCCCGTCCAAATTCTTTGTCAAAATTTATAAAATAAGTGTGTTAACTACAAAAGTAGGCATGGATGTCAAAATTCATGGGTTTTTATGTACCCATCCTTTTAGATTGGATACATAATTCACACATGACATCAATTAGTATAGTTCGATGAGTTCATCCTCATACGCATTTAACTTGAATTTGAACTAATATATTTGAATTTTTACTCATACCCATTATATAGTTACAAATATTCAATTTAAGAAATTAAGATGTAATACCTAAACTTCGAAAATTTTACAAATAACTCAAGCTTTTTGTTGTTGTGAATTGTGATATAGGTTTCGAGGTGGCGAACAAAGGGTGCTGCGGGACAGGGACAATCGAGGCATCGGTGTCGTGCAACAAATACAGCCCTTTCACTTGTCCCGATGCTTCCAAATATGTATTTTGGGACGGCTACCATCCGTCGGAGAAGGCCTATAAGCTTCTCGTCAGTCGGGTTCTTACCAAGTACGTGCCGGAACTAATGTAGTAGTAGCACAGTCAGCCGACAGACTTCGCCGGCCGGAATCAGGGGAAAGACTTTACTATATAATATATATGATATGGTAATATATTGAAGACTGTGTAAAATGATTGATTGGTCGGTCAAACTGTCGGACGATTCCTTGTCATGTGATGAACCGGTGGTGATGATTGACTGACTGAAACATAAAAATGAGGGAAAGAGAATTCTATATTGTTAAGTGGGCCGGAAAATCATGGACATTGAATAGGCTTTCTGTTATTTTGCTAACTCTTGATTGACTTGTGGGCTTGTGGTTTGAAAAATAAAGAAAGACAAATTCACTCACTCATGGTTTATCAAACACAAAATCATGGATTTATGAGTAAAAAAATTCGGGGTCAAATTTACTGGATTTGGAAAACTCAAACCCAACCCAACTCGCTAGGTATCTGCGGGTTCATAGGTATTCATGAGTTTTTGTGGTAAAAAATTTACAGTAACAAGTTTCTATCAAAATAAAATTCAAACATCAATTTCTCCATACATAAAACATCAGTCTAGAAAATTCAAACAAATCACAATTACACTAAATAAAATCACACTGATAAGTGCAGTGAGAGTTAGATTGGGGGAAATTAAAATTAGGGTAGGGTTTGAAGAGAGTAGGCCGACGAAATAAGTGTGGACAAGTATCCATGAGTCGGGTATCTCTAAACCCGATGAATAGTGTACGGGTTTAAACCCGAACCCGGCTTAAAACCCGTCAACGCGAATTTTACTCGCGTTGACCGGGTTCGGTCAGGTAGGATACCCGTAGGTTCGGGTTTTGTTGCCATCCGCTATGAATCATAAACAAAAGTCAAGGTCAAACATTGAATAGCGTGAATGTTATTCTTCAATGGTACAATATCAAGAGTCAAATCAGCAGACGAGCTGCATTTTTATTATGGTTGACAAAAAGGAGAAATATACAACAAAATACATAACTTTGTATACAAAGACATTTCTCAAGACTTTAACCCTTTCTGGCACTCTTTATTTTTCCATATTATATTTTCGATAGAAATTCCACTGCAAATCTGCAATGCACGACTACACATTTCTATTCATTATATGATGAATAGAGTACGGAATTTATTAACTTGTATGACTCTTATCTAGCGACAACATTAGTCTTCCCAAAATCTTCTCAATTTCAATAGTGATTAGCATTTTATTTCATTTTGAAGTTTATTTATATCTTTCATTATTTCGGATGTCAAGATTTTATAGGCCTTCTCTGTGAGATGAACACTATCCCAAAATATGTAATTTGAAGCATTGATACACGTGGAGCTCAATTGGTTGCAAAGAACCGCAAACTCTAGCTCCCCTGTCCCACAGCACCCGTCCTTCACATCAACAAACCCTGCAAATTGACCCACGTACAATTAAACCAAACTCAAGAGTTGTACATTAACGTAGGAACCAGTCAGATTCAATAACTTTAAGTTACGGTTTTTTGGAGAGATTGAAAAATGCCTTTTAAAACATTTCTTTATTATATGCCCGCTTGAAACAAAAGACAAACTACGATCTTAAAATCTACAGAAAACCACTATCAACTGTTAAAACTGGAGTTGAGGTGGTTAAGATTTGAACACGAGACCTATCTATCTGTGGGTACGTACGCGTTGCATCCTGTCCTATAACTATTCATCGAGATATATATCATGCATGCTAATTAATTTCGACGATAATTTAAAGTTCATACCGACCGACTCACCGTAATTCTCGGGACGCTGGATGATGTCGAACAAAGGGTTGTACACGTCCAGAAACGTGGTGCTCAAGTTAGGAAAACGAGCGTCGTCCCTCAAGCGTTGGAGTTCATAGCCAAGCTTCTCGTTGAACATTGTCGCCAAATCGTTGGACTCCTCGAAACACGGCCTTCCAATCCCACCAAACACAGTTCTGGAGGCGGGGACACATCCAGTCACTATCGTACTCAGGTGGGCGATCTTTCGAGCTCCTAGACCGTGCAATTGCCTGATAAACGTGGAAGCCTGGCCGACGAGAAAGTTGGCGTACGAATCCATGTCCGACGACTTTCTCCTGGCCAGAAAATAGGTAGCTCCGACGTCGTTGTTGCCGGCTGATATTACGTAAAGACTGTTCTCTATGATGGCTTTTGATTTCTGCTCTCCGACTAGAGTTCTCAGCTTTGCCATGTATTGTCGAAAGAGGTCGAGTTGGTTCGGAATCGATGGAACAGATGACTGTTACAAATATTTCAACCGTATGGTTAAAAACTAACATACATGTTATGTTTATCCAAGGTGTATTGAAAGGAATATATAAATCAATTAGGAGCCGTCAAAATCGTGATTCTATATAAAAGCGTTTTAGTGACCTAAAAGTGTAAAATCGTAAGCGGAACCTACGCTTTAAAACTCACCAGCTTACGATTTCGTGACCTGGAAGTATAAATCCGTCAAAATTTTAAATTTTTAAACTACGCGATTTTTTGACTAAGGAACCATTAACAAGAAGTTGAGACGACAGGATCTTAACGGTTAATATTGGCGTTTCGGGATCGTAACCGGAGCCAGCAGAAGCAAAACACACTCCGGTGACAAGATCTTCAACTTGGAGATTCGGATCAAGATAAGGCGGTAATGAAGCTTTGATTCCCAAATTTTCACCTGCCAAAATGAAAAAAAAAAAAAAAAACAGGCCTGATTCCTCTGATTAAATCCATCTTTTTTCCACGTCAATATTATATGAAGCATTATATTACCTATGAAGTCCGAAATAAGCCTCCCATTGGAGAATCGGCCAGTGGGTAATCCTCCAGGGAAATCCTCTCCGTAGGGATGGAAATTGGACTTAACCAAAGTTTCGATGTAGTTGTTGTTGCCTGTGTCGAGAATGGAGTCACCGAATATGAGAACCGCTGAAGAGTTTTCGGGTGCCATTGTTTTCGTGACGCCTTGGCAGAACAATAGAGGACCAGTGGTTACAAAAAGCAGCAAGAAGAAGAAGTTGATGAAGAAGCTAATGGATTCGGGAGAAACTCTGTTGGAAACCATGATTGTTTGCTCTACTTGACTACTCGATCGGATCCTTCGTCGATTCTCGCCATCGAGCTGTCTATAAAGAGGTAAAAAGCTGATGTATGAAAAATGAAATGCATGTATAGTTGCCGCCTGATCGTCTAAAAAGACAAGCGGTGGCTCTGCCAACTACTAAAATAAAAGCTTCCGATTCCGCCAAAAGAACAACATTGAATTTCAGTGTCCTCGTTATAGTTTCCTCCAACAGAAAAAAAAAGAAAGAAAGTCTTCGGTACAAATTTTGTAAAATCTTATTGGTGAGTAGGGGTGGAAGTTTGGTTTGCGGGTTGCGGGTAACCCGCAAACCGCACCAAACCGCACAATTTGTGGATACCCATACCCATAATTTGTGGATAGTGACTTGAGTGTGGGTAGCAAAATATTGATTTTTGTGGTTAGTGGTTAACCACTACCCACAACGGTTTACCCACAAAATCCACATTAACCACATTAGTTATATTTATTTCTTCAAAATACTTTGTAACCCTTTCACATTAGTTATATTAGTTTGTGAAACTTGGAATACTAAGAATTAAAGTAGCTACCAAAATCAAATACACACTTATTCTATAAAACAAAACCAAGTCAATACGCAATGTTCATGTAAGATACTTTATCAAATAAGCATTATCCGTGTGGTATATGTTTATTTTATAACAAAATCAAGTCCATAGATAAAGTCAGATAAATTAATCGATTCGTTAAAAGAGGGGAATAATCGATAAATATTAGTCTGATACCCAAACTCGTCTACATTTCTCCACGAACTCATGAACAACACAACATGCCCCAGCCACCAACAATACAATACTATAATCGAGAGTTGAGAATAATCGATTCATTAAAAGCGGGCGCCTCCACTTATCGAGCCACTTTTGTGTTTAGCTGTTGTTGCCATCGGAGGAGCTGTGACATGCAATGATGTTTGTCTGGTAACAAGTCACTCTACCTCTCCGTTATCTTCAAACCTCTTTCCAAATCTATCTCTTCTGAATTTACACTAATTACCCTATTGTATTCGATATTTATAATTTATTTAACACTTTATTAACTTTCTTTTATGTATGTTTTTGTTTTTGTTTGAGAAGAAACACAATATCACTATTTAATTACCATATTATTATATTTAATGTGAAATTTTTGTGGGTATCCACAACCAATCCGCACCAACCCGCAGTGGGTAATAGTTAACCACTATCCACTACGGAGCGGATTGTGGGTAGCATAATTCTATATTTGTGGGTGTGATTACCCGCAAAATATGGGGCGGGTAACCACCCCACCCCAATCTCCACCCCTAGCGGTGAGTGTGGTCCAACCACTAGTATGGTACAATACTAGAAAACCAAGGTCCAAATTCATCGTTTGACGGGCCTCACATACGAGGTATTATTCATAGGTCCAAGCCTCAAGTCTTCCGGCCCAACCTCATTCTTATGACACGAGGACAAGACACATGAACCAAAATTTAGTAAATACTCCGTTTAATACACGTATTCGTACATACTTTATTCGTTTAAAACTTTCGTATTTGTATTATTGTCAAGCCATTTTATTAGTTTCCGTTCATTTGACGGCTCCCGTACTAAACACGTGTAAAACCAATATAACACGTTTAATATCCGTATTTAATGAAATAAATTATTAACTTTACTATTTTTTACATATTTATTTATAAAAATAATTAATTTTATATATTTATGACTATTAACGTACTATTAAATGTAACATTAGCTAAGAAACGAAGTATAATACCCGTACGTATTTTATACGTAACTTTCCCGTACCGTATTTTACTAACTATGTAACACGAGTCTTCCTCATCCAGATTCCAGAGTAAGGAACTAGAGCACATAGAACGAGTGAACGCCGACAACATGGTGTTCCGAGCAACTAATGATATTTTGTTTTTCGAAACAAATATAAAGCATCAAGCAACACTTCTCAATGCATAGGTGATTCAACAACAACAACAAAAAAGTCGTAATTCAATTATGAACAAAGATATATGTAACAAGTTAATTAACATGTGACTTTCACAATAGTTGATTTATATACTCCCAAAATTCGAAGACTAAGATTTCGTAGGTCTTTTTCGTGGGATGAACACCATCCCAAAAAATATACTCGGAAGTATCATTGCAAGTCAAGGGGAAAGATTGGTTGCAAAGAATTGCGGTCTCTGTTTCTGTACAGAAGCAACTTTCCCTTATTACATCAAACCCTGTAACACAAGCACAACTAAACTCACGAGTTCAACAAGACGCAAGTGTCACCTAATGGGTTAGTTTTTCGCATAATCTTGTTTACTACTAGAATTCACCTTGTACCACATCGATTAAATACAAGAGATTAAATGGCTTTATACTGCCACAACCATGACGTGGTGAGGAGGGTGATCGACATACTGCCACGCCCATGATGTGCCGGAGGGGGGGGGGGTATCATACTGCCACCCCCATGATGTGGTGGTGGGGTTGATTGACATACTTCCCTCATAGTATGACTATGAGGTGGTCAACAAACCACCCCCATGGAATTCAATACCATGGAGTGAAATATGACTAAGTATGGAGAAAGATTGACATACTGCCCCATAGTGTGGTGAGAGGGGGGTCATCAACATAGTGTCACCCCCATGATGTGGTCCCCATGGTATAGCCAAGAGGCATGGTTAACATCACCATCGTGAGGTTGTTAGGGGGTCACCAAGATACCACTCTCATGAGGTGGTCAAGGGGGTCATGTGAGCATGTGGTCTCCCTACTCTAGTAATGGTGAAGTATTTTTGCCATTTTTGACACATGTGATTCGAGTACCCCACCCATATGTGGCATGTGGTTTGTCTTCATGCCTTAGCCATTTTTCTCTATAGACAAGCAAAACTACGGAGGAGATACCAAGACCAGGGGATGAGGTCTTAAGAGGAGAGGGTAATCGTCACTCCACGTCGGCGGAGCAGTTTCTCGAGGAAGTTAAATAGGAGGTCAAGATGATAGAGAAAGGGTTCGCCAAAATCACACAAGACAACCCAATGTCAAATTTTATCTTTTTATCTTTTCCTCTGCAAACTTAGCCATAGTTGTAGTTTCGGAGCTCTCACTGAACCTCCGTAGGAATAGGGTTAATGTATTTTAAATTTATCTCGTAGATCATCAAGAACATCGAACACCCTTGTTTGAACTTTGTTCGAAGAGGTGTGGACCGTGTTTAGTAATTGTTTGGATAAGAAGTCAAAAGTACAATTCCCAATTCTCTTCCCTTTAGTTTTCTCGCCGGGAAAACAAATCTATAAATTGGAGTTTTTGTTTTTATGTTATAAAACGTACTTTCCATCATTTTCAAAAATCGAGCCTTTCTCCGCGTGAAGAATTGCACGAAATTGACCATCCCCATTCATCGACTTTACCCCTGTTTTGTTCGAGAAATTGAATTGAAAGTTCAATTCAATTCTTAAGTTGCATGACAATGATCTCAAACCCTATCTGAGGTTTATCAAGCTCGTAGAACGAGTGAACGACGACAACATGGTGTTCTGAGCAACTACTGATATTTTGTTTTCGAAACAAATATAAAGCATCAAGCAACACTTCTCAATGCATAGGTGATACAACAAGGGGGAAAAATTCGTAATTCAGTGATAAACAACAAAATATGTAACAAGTTAATTATCATGTGACTTTTCACAATAGTTGATTTATATACTCCCAAATTTCGAAGACTAAAATTCCGTAGGTCTTTTCCGTGGGATGAACACCATCCCAGAATATATACTCGGACGTATCGCTACAAGTCAAGGGGCACGATTGATTGCAAAGAATTGCGGTCTCAGTGTCTGTACAACAGCAACTTTCCTTTATTACATCGAACCCTGCAACACAAGCCCAACTAAACGCATGAGTTCAACAAGACGTAAGTGTTACCTAATGGATTGGTTTTTCGCTGAATCTTCAAATTGGAATTTCTGTTTTAAAATACTTTTCATATTTTCAAAATCAGACTTACATGTGAGTGTGTGGCTTTTTACCTTTTCAAAAGAAAATAAAATTTTTTTAAAAAATCGGACCAAACATATACTAGTTAGATTCGCCAAGTTAGATAATATCAACTTACCATATCTTTGGGGGTCCTGTATAATACCAAGCAAAGGACCATACAGATCCACAAACACTATCTTCAAGCCAGGAAGATGGTCGTTGAGATACTCAATTTCAGATATAAGCTTCCCATTGTATAACCTTGCAAGCTCATTGAAATCCTCAGCACATTCCCTTTCCCTTCCTCCTCCTCCTACGGTTCTTCCTTGTGGCACACACCCGGGCACTAATGTGCTGAACACACCGATTTTACGAGCCCCCAACTTGTACAGTTCGACCAGAGATTCCGAAGCTTGGGTCGCAAGAAACGCGGCATATGAAGTCATGTCGTACTCGAGGTGCCTGTTGGTGAGGAAATAAGTAGATCCTATGTCGTTGTTTCCCGATGAAAGTAAGTAGAGGCTTCGATTGATGATGTCGTCTGATCTTTGTTCTCCTACGTTAGCTTTTAACTTGTCCTTGTATTCCTGGAAGAGTATGAGTTGTGTTGGAATTGATAGTGCCATCTACATTAATGTAAAAGTAAGATTTTGAGATGAGTCGCAAGTCAATATGATATAAGATTTAATTAAAACTGAAATAGAATCTTTCTTTTACGAATTAGATACATATATATTAAATATTATGGCTAAAAAAAGGCAAGCTTAACCTTACGATCAATGCACATTTAGTGGTTTCTGCGCCTAGTTAGGTACTAGGAATACTTCAATGGAATAAGGTGACACCTAAGTGTCTCCTGGACACAATGTAGTCAAAAGCGCGATACTACCTAGAAGCGGAAAAATGGTAAAATCATAAAGCATAGAATTAAAGCGTAACAGCGTAAATTTTTTACGCATACTCTGTAAAATAACTAAAAATATGTTAAGTACGACATATACTATATAAAAGATGAGTGCACAAATTTTAGATAAGTTAATAAATATATGCAATTCATGTCTAAAGTAGAGCAACTTATAGCCTCTAAATAATAAGTTCATAAACAAAAATTTTAACAATAAGCCACTTTTCCCTCTATGCTAATGAATTTGGGAAGAGTCTAGTTGGTGAATTAGATTACTCTATTGAAGCTAAGAATGCATCTAAGTACATGGTATTTATCTTTTAATGAGCACTTCTACTATGCTATATAGTATTGGTACTTTAATGTACAACTTGAAGTTGTACCATAACATTAAATGTATAAGTTTAGGTTGTATCATAAAGGAATTTGTATCATTATGTTATGGTACAACTTTACAACTTGAAGTTGTACCATCACATAAGGTACAAGTTTAAGTTGTACCATAAAAGAATTTGTACAAAAATTATAGGTACAATCTGAAGTTGTACCATAACGTTAAAAGTACAATTTCAAGTTGTACCATAAAGAAAAAACTTATAGCACCAATGCTATATAGCATTGTAAAATTCCTCATCTTTTAATATCAAATGTATCTTATTTTTGGTGATTTATCTTTAAAATTTACTTATTTATAATTAATTTCATGAAAAGAATACTCATTTAGTGAACTAAAAACGTAAAATCGTAAAGCGTTTCGGTGACATAGACGCGTAAAAGTGAAAGCTTTTAGCTATAAAGCACAATTTAGTCCGGTTTTATACTCTTAAATTTTTATATGGAAACGAAATCATTTTGGTGACCTAGAAGCGTAAAAACGTTAGTTTTTAAATTTTAAAGCGCGATTTTAACTGCATTGCCCGGACATTGCCTGAACATAATTAGATGGAGCTAGACCGTCAATATTAAAGAAGAGAATTAACATCAACTACAAAATTAACTTTTTATCTCAATCATTTTAATAGCTCAGGAACTTTACGATTCTACTAATTTTTTAGTTATTTTTGACGCATACTAAAATAACTAAATATATGTCAAGTATGACATATACTATATAAAAAATGAGTGCACAAAATTTTAGATAAGTTAATAAATATATGCAATTCATGTCTAAAGTAGAGCAACTTATAGCCTCTAAATAATAAGTTCATAAACATAAATTTTAACAATAAAATAACTAAAAATATGTTAAGTACGACATATACTATAAAAGATAAGTGCACAAATTTTAGATAAGTTAATAAATATATGCAATTCATGTCTAAAGTAGAGCAACTTGTAGCCTCTAAATAATGAGCACTTCTACTATACTATATAGTATTGGTGCTTTAATGTACAACTTAAAGTTGTACCATAACATTAAATGTATAAGTTTAGGTTGTACCATAAAGTAATTTGTACCATTATGTTATGGTACAACTTTACAACTTGAAGTTGTACCATCACATAAAGGTACAAGTTCAAGTTGTACCATAAAAGAATCTGTACAAAAAGTATAGGTACAATCTAAAGTTGTACCATAACGTAAATGTACAATTTTAAGTTGTACCATAAAGGCAAAAACCTATAGCACCAATACTATATAGCATTGTAAAATTCCTCCTAAATAATAAGTTCATAAACATAAATTTTAACAATAAGCTACTTTTTCCTCTATGCTATTGAATTTGGGAAGAGTCTAGCTGGTGAATTAGATTACTCTATTGAAGCTGAGAATGCATCTAAGTACATGATATGTGTCTTTTAATATCAAATGTGTCTTATTTTTGGTGATTTATCTTTAAAATATAATTTTTATAATTAATTTCATGAAAATAATATTCATTTAGTGAACTAAAAACGTAAAATCGTAAAGCGTTTTGGTGACATAGAAGCGTAAAAGTGTAAGCTTTAAAGCACAATTTTGTCTGGTTTTATACTCTTAAATTTTTATATGGAAACGAAAGCGTTTTGGTGACCTAGAAGCGTAACACCTTAAGTTTTTAAATTTTAAAGCGCGATTTTAACTGCATTGTCTAGACATTGCCTGGGCATAATTAGATGGAGCTAGACCGTCAATATTAAAGAAGAGAATTAACATCAACTACAAAATCAACTTTTTATCTCAATCATTTTAATAGCTCAGGAACTTTACGATTCTACTAATTTTTTAGTTATTTTTCTTATTGTTAAGTGTTAAGTAAGTTATTAATAATATTATTTTCAGTGAAAAAGCGTTGTAAATTATTATTTCATTTATCATGCCGTGCAAATAGTTGTTTTTCCTTCCAACGGTTAAGCACACTTAACCTACACCTAAACGAGTTAGGCACTAGACAAGATCTCAACGCACACCTTACGCCTGCCTACCTCCTTAAACCTTGATAAAAACCAAGGATTAAAATACCGTACCGTATCAAAGGTTCGACCTGAAAAACTTCCTGCCGGATGCTAAATCGGTAAGCGATATTTAATGGTATGAAGCCGTTGAACTACGATTAAATTACGATTTTAGCATAAAATACTCTACTGTTGACTTTTCCGGTACAACCTCTGATTCGGTATTTCAATCCTTGATAAAAACACATGATCCGTCTGTAGAATCAGCTAATAAGATGAATTTTATTGACGAGAACTGAAAAAATTATATCGGTCGGTAAAAGTTAATTGACTGACCATTGACCTTATCGTTTCGGGATCAAACCCACAGCCGCCAGAAGCAAAAGCCACGCCGGTGATAAGATCTTCAGGTCCAAGATTGGGATCAAGATACGGCGACAAAAGATCTTTAATCCCCAAATTTTCAACTGCAATGACAATATAGTTAACTAAAAGCAAACAGAAAACCGACCCATTTGAAATCGATCTCCGGCGCCGGCGCATGATAAATTGTACCGTTACCTATCAGGTCGGGGATGATTTTCCCATCAGAGAACCTCCCCGTGGGTTTCCCGCCGGGGAAATTCCTACCGTACGGCGGGTAATCACACCTGGCGCGAGTCAGGATGTAATCGTTGTTCCCCGTGTCCATAATCGAGTCCCCGAACACATAAACCGCCGCCGGATTGCTTTCTCCGGAATCGACTCCGGCGCAAAACAGAGCAGCTGATATCCCAAGCAGAACCCAGGGGACGACGAATCCTGAAGAATTACGGAATTTCATAACTTTTTTTTTGTTTCCTTTTGATTCTCTATGTTTGGTTCCGATACCTTCGTGTATATACATGCACCTGGATGAATGTCGCAATCGGCTGACATGAGTTGCACATACGGAAGTGAGTTCTGACTCTTGAGTGATGATAGTAGCAGAGACGCAATCTCTGCTGCCGTTTTCCGACTATTCCAGCAGACCAGAAGTGTATATTTTCGTGCTCTCAGTTTAGGAGGTTGGGTAACATGATTTTCTGCACAAAAGCATCCTAAATATCGATTAGGTTAACTGCATTGCCGCTATCGATCCCAAGAAGAAAACGGTAGGTACAACTAATCGGTGAACGCGTCAATCAGCGCATTGTAAAAATTGGGTAGATTCGATCTGTGGTCATTTGGAGCCACCTAAAAAGATTTACTAAATTCATCGAGCAGTTCCAAAGAATCAAAACAACCGGTTATTAAAGAATATCGATTATCATTTCCTTGTCATAAACCAACTGCTCCAAAAAAACCCAGAAATCAAGAAGACAACAACCCAACTTAACCTACCGCGTAATTATTGAATAGAGAGGTGACAAAGTTTACAATTGATATCACAACAGCTCATTTATATAATCTCTAACTTTGGACACTAAGATTCTATTGGCCTTCTCTGTGGGATGAACACTATCCCAAAAGATGTACTCTGAAGTGTTAGCACAAGTAAAGGGACTCAGTTGGTTGCAAAGAACTGCTGCCTCTATATACCCTGTCCCGCAGCACCCTTCCTTTGTTACTGCAAACCCTGCAAATCCAATTTCGAAACCCAATTCAATAACTCAAACCAGAAGACTACCAAATCTTTGTTTAGGTTTGGAATCTTGTAAACAGAACAATAAGAGAAACTTACCATATGTTTCAGGATCCTTTATAATGCCAAGCAAAGGGCTGAACAAGTCCACAAACACCATCTTCACACCAGGAAGTTGTTTGTTCAGATAGTCCATCTCAAAGCTAAGCTTCCCATTATATATCTTTGCTAGCTCGTTGAAATTCTCAGCACATTTCCTTTCTTCTCCTCCTCCTACTGTTCTTCCTTCCGGCACACATCCGGACACTAATGTGCTAAACACGCCAATCTTACGAGCACCGAGTTTGTACAGTTCAACTATGGATTCAGAAGCTTGGGTCACAAGAAATGAAGCATAAGAAGTCATGTCGTACTCGAGATGCCTGTTGGTCAGGAAATAGGTAAGTCCGATATCGTTGTTGCCCGATGAGATCAAATACAGGCTCTGATTTACAATGACGTTTGATCGCTGCTCTCCTGCCAGACCTTTTAACTTGCCCTTGTACTCTTGGAAGAGCTTGAGTTGCTCTGGGACTGATAGAGCCGACTGCAATGATTTGGTCGTACAAAATCATCAGTAATACTAATATGTAATGATTGATTTTCAATGCACGATTTAACTAGTCAATTCGTCGCGATATACTCATTGAAAGTGAAATGTACATAATTTATCCGAATTATCCGATTAGATGTTTAATATGTGACAATATGTTTATGATTTCTATGAATTAAAGATTTTACTTATAAGATATCAAGACAAACAAGCATTGATCTTAAACCTAAGACTGACCAGAGTCTTTATCGTTTCAGGATCAAACCCACATCCACCTGAAGCAAAAGCCACTCCAGTCGATAGGTCTTGAGCTCCGAGATTCGGATCAAGATATGGCGGCAGAAGATCTTTAATCCCCAAATCTCCAGCTTCAATTGCAAACATGAAAACTTTTTTCGGAAACCGGAACAAAAAAGTGGAAGTAAAAAAATCGAGTCTTGCAGGCAGCTATGAATCTGTACCTATAAGGTCGGAAATGACTTTCCCGTCAGTGAACCTTCCTGTGGGTTTCCCGCCTGGAAAATTCCTGCCGTACGGTGGGAAATTGCACTTGGACAAAGTAGGTAGGTAATTGTTGTTGCCCGTGTCCAGAATCGAGTCACCGAACACAAAAACCGCCGGAGTACTCTTGCCGGAAGACACTCCGGCGGAAAACAGAGCAGCGGATTCCGCAAGCAGAAGCCATGGGATGATCAGGAATCCTGAAGAACCCATGGATGCCATATTCTTGTTTCCTTTCATTATGATGTACTTACATTACATGAAAATGGCATTTGTAGGTTAGAAAGTCGTTTCAGTTTCTGCTTAAATATTAATGGCGGTAGGGGAAGGAAGAACAGCAGGAAAGCCAGAGAGGCAGAGAGGTCGTGCTATGGAATGGGGATTGTAGTGTTGGCATGGGGACACGTGTCTGACTATATTTGGTCACTGCGATGTGAGATTATTGGCCCTGGATGGGGAGTGCTCAGATAGACATGTCCATGTCTACATCTTTTGATGATAACGAATTAATGATGATGTTTATAAAACTCTTTCGAAACAATTTAAATTTATCCAAAAATTGTGTAATAAAATTATGGGTATGGTTATGGGACTTGCAAGTCGTAATGATTTGGACAAAATAGTCTATCGTTAAGTGGTTGTGGCCAACCAATTATACTAATATGGTCTTTCTGATGGAATGCAGCAGTCGACCTTTGTTTACCTATACAAAAATCAGTTTGTACTTCGTACCACATAGATTAACTACAAGAGAGTTAATGGATTTATAAGGCCAGCTCAACACTAATAAATAAAAGAGTTAGGTGGGCCTTGTTGGGTTGAATTTTTGGGCCTAAGTGGCCAAACCCCTTATTCCTTATACAATGGTCGACCCGTCTCCTTGGACCCATAGCCGGACGATGCCTCCACTCCTTGGTATGAAATTTGGCTCCCAAAAGCTAAGTTTGGAAACTAAGCGGTACAACCGAGTTCCAAATAGGGAGCCATCCAAAAACTAAGTCATTGGCTAAGTATGAAGCCAAAGCCTATCAAGCCGACATGGAATTTGACTAAGTATGGAATTGGCTGAGTATGGAGACCCAACCACAAAGGGGATCAAGCACTAAGTACCATGGTGCCTACCTACCTTGCACTAGGGTATCAAGCATGTGGCCATGCTAGGAGTGTGATATCAACTACCTCTAGACGTGGCAAGGGAAGAAGGGCAACGCGAGTCCCTAGACCGTGGTGGCAAAGAAAGGCACAATTTGGCTAAGTGTTGAGACCCAACCACCAGGGGGTCAAGCATTACATCATCCCAGGGGGGGCAAGCATGATGTCATGCAAGTGGGATCAAGCATCTGTCTACCTACCTTGCGATAGGGTGTCAAGCATGATGTCGTTCAAGGAGAGCTATTACGAGTACTGTTTATGCCTAGATGTCTTCTTCCCTCCGCTCCGCGCTCCGATCTCTAGCACGCTTCTTGCTGCGCGCCCGCCTGCACACACAAGCGCCTAGCGGACCGGGTAGGTCCCTTAGCACTCCGACGCCCAAGTGAGAACCCTTCTTTCTAGAGAGAGAAGTGGGGAACAGTTCTAGTAAGAGAAGCAAAACTGAGTAAATGAGGTGTACCTACTTCAATATTTATACCCGGGACGAGATTGACCAGTACACGTCGCTCTCGCCCTGTGTAAGGTCCGCCATAAATGCGCCGTACAACCCTTGCGCATGCGCCTCGACCACCTGACACTTTAGTCAGGGGTTTGGGGCACATGACATCACGTGGCCAGCTTTTCGTACACTTCCGACCGTTAGGTGTCTTTTGTCCTATGCGCCTCTTGCCAGGTGTCTGGTCCCACCTGTCTCACGCGCCACCCTTACCATTTGGGCCTTTCACCACACGTCTTTCGGCCCAAGGCTCTTGCCCCCATGGGCTTTATTGGATTTCTCCGGTTGGGCCCTGGATGGCCCACGTCTGTGACCCTTCAACAATCTTCTTTGGGCCTTCCCTTTTGGGTTGACCTTCGGCCCATACTCATTTCCCCAACAAGTACCTCTAGACGTGGTGGTGACATCTCACCACTCACCTACCCTACAGTCACAATGGGGATGAGATTCGACTAAGTATGGAGTTTTCTCTCGACCACTGTCACGGACAAACTCTTGGCCGTGCGGCACTTAGCACTCAAGTCTCGTTAGAGCGCTAAGTCAGCCTTGCTCATATTCACTCAAACTCACAAGTATGGAGAAAAGCTCTAGAGATGGAAACTCTCAATTTCTGGATGAATGAAAAGTGATGCAGAGGGATGCTTATATAGGCATCCTCTCCACTCAGTACAATGTATGTAGGCCATCATTAATGAATGAACCTAGATAGTCCCCCTATACATGAACTTGCACCCATACATGAGTGAAAATAAATAAGGTGAATGCATAAGCACTCATACATGAATCAAAATAAATGAGGGGGGGGGGGGGATGCATGCACGTTGGAGCATGTATCCGAAGATGCATGCCTGTACCTCCCTCCCTCTAGAGTCTTCTAGAATTTCCTCCGTGACATTCTCCCCCACAAAATTCACGACGTCCTCATCGTGGCACCATCTTCGCATCAGCGTCATTGTTGGTTTGGTGATTATGTGCTTCATGGCGAGGCAAGGATGGCCCCTCTTCAAGCATGACTCTCATGGCCCCAAGATGTAGCGTTCTCTTCGTCGTTGTCTTCTTCTGTCAAGACTTCGAACCTCTCGCCCGCTCCATCTTGGTCCATACTTCCCTGTTCGCGGCTTGCATTGCTGAGCAAGCCTTTAGACCTCCATGTGCCTCTCTTAATAGCGGCACCTTGATGATTTTCTCTCCTCCAAAGATGAACATCACATCCTCGAAGGGAATTGGAAAAGCCTTCTTCTTGTCCATGAAGTCCATGCCGATGACGATCGGATAGTCATCCATCGACACCACATGAAAGTCCGCCTCCCCCACCCAATCTCCAAGGGTGATCCGCACCTTCCGAGCGACTCCATGTGTTGGTGTGGCTTCTGAATTTACCGTCTTCAGCCACCCTCTCCTCTTCTCGTACGAGATACTAAGCCTCCGCGCTTCATCCACGTCGAGGAAATTGTCACTAGCTTCGGTGTCCACCAAAGCCTTTGTCTTTCCCTTGTTGTGCTTTTCCTCCACGAAGCATCGCCCCCTCTCTTCGGTAGGAGGTGGACCTTTCTTCCCCTTCATTGCGCCTAACACCCTTAGACCGCCCAACTTCGAAGTTTGGTCCTCCACTCTTGGAGCCTCATCCTCTTCTGAGTTATCTTCCACGAGCATCGCAGCTAACTTACTCCTCTTGGGACAATCTCTTACACGATGTGGGCCATCACAAAGAAAGCAAGAAATAGGTTTATCAACCATTCTCCCCTTACCTCCTTTGTTTGAGTCACCACGTTGTTGTGTCCTCTTGCCCTCGTTGGAGTAGTCTTCATGGTCTCTCCCATCGTTGTTGCTGAATGCATCTTGCTCCTCCGACCTCTGATACTCGACAAGGGATTCAGCGATTGCCATTGCCGAGGCAAGGTCTTGTACACCTCGTCGTTGTAGCTCCAACCTCGCCCATGGTTGCAAGCCGTACAAGAATGCGAACAAGGCCTCTTTGTCCGGATAATCGGGGATCTCAAGTAGCAATTCCGAGAATTCTTTCACATACTCAAGAATTGTGCCTGTGTGGGTGAGTTGTCGTAGCTTCGCACGAGCCTCCATCTCCACATTCTCCGGATAGAATTGCTTCTTGATTTCCCTACGGAAATCCTCCCACGTGTTCATCACACACGTGCCTCTTTCTATCTCACCTTGCCTTCTCCTCCACCATACCATGGCCGTATCGACCAAGTAGAGGGAGGCGGTGCGCACCATGACTTCGTTGTCATTGATGCCCGAAGCCTTGAAATACTGCTCAAGACTCCAGAGGAAATTCTCCAATTCCCTCGCGTTCCTCGACCCACCGAAATTCTTTGGTCGTGGAACATCCATTCGTGGGGTAAATTGTGTCGTGGCAGGTCCGTTAGCCATCGCTCGCTTGACGAGATTGAACTCTGCTCTAAGCTCGTCAAACTCCTCCCTCACGTTGTTCACGTCTGCCCGAACGGTATCCTTCAAGGAGTCGATGGCGTTAGTGATGATGGTTAGAAACGCATTTCGAAAAGCTTCCAACCCCACCTCCAAACCCGTCGTTCGAGCAAGCACACCTTGCATGTCGCCCTTCAAGGCATGCACCTCCGTGCCGACTTGGTCGATGTTTGTCTCCATGTCTTCTAACATGGTGATGTGGTCCGCAACCTTCGCCTCCGCCCTCCAGAGCCTCTCCTCGAAAGCAGATAAGGGCTCACGAGTGGATCCATCTCGCTGCTTCTTCTTGTTTTGGTCCTTCTTTTGCTCATGACCGCATTGTTGCTCATCGTTGAGAACTTCGCTTCCGGATCCAGCCATCTCTTCGAGGTTCTTTCTCACTTGATGAGCTACGACCTTGGCTCTGATACCACTTGTCACGGACCAACTCTTGGCCGTGCGGCACTTAGCACTCAAGTCTCGTTAGAGCGCTAAGTCATCCTTGCTCGTATTCACTCAAACTCACAAGTATGGAGAAAAGCTCTAGAGATGGAAACTCTCACTTTTTGGATGAATGAAAAGTGATGCAGAGGGATGCTTATATAGGCATCCTCTCCACTCAGTACAATATATGTAGGCCATCATTAATGAATGAACCTAGATAGTCCCCCCATACATGAACTTGCCCTCATACATGAATGAAAATAAATAAGGTGAATGCATAAGCACTCATACATGAATCAAAATAAATGAGGGGGGGGGGGGGGGGATGTATGCACGTTGGAGCATGTATCTGAAGATGCATGCATGTACCTACTTCCCTCTAGAGTCTTCTAGAATTTCCTCCGTGACACCACCTAGGGGGGAGGGGTCAAGCATGACATCATTCAAGGGGGGTCAAGCATGATGTCGTGCAAGGGGGTCAAGAACTAAACACCATGACTACTATCTACCGTCAAGCACGATGCAACCCCAAGGGGGTCAGTGTGCATCCATCAGACCCCCAAGCACCCTAGTGTCGAAGGTGGTTAGCACGAGTACCACCAAACTTGAAGCCCTCACTCACCAAGCAAGACACCTCCATGGCACAAGGGGCTAGCTATCAAGTGAAGTCATCAAGGTGCAAGGTATCAAGTGGCAAGCACGTAAGACAATCAAAGCGTCAAGCAAGCTACATCAAGCACCAAGCAGAAGAGAAGCGGTTAACAAGAGATGGTTACAAGAGATGGCTACATCAGAACCAACCATTTGACGCACAATGTCAAACTTTTATCTTTTCTCTGCAACTTAACCATAGCCTTAAGTTTTCGAAGCTCTCACTGAACATCCATAGGAGTAGGTGTAATTAACGTAGATTGTTCCCAAAAAACCATCAGAAACATCAATCAGCCTCGTTTGAA